CATGACACCCGGCTGATTTTTTGTATTTTAGTAGAGATGGGGTTTCACCATGTTGCCTGGGCTGGTCGTGAACTCCTAAGCTCAGGCAATCGGCCTCCCAAAGTGAGTTTCTACTTTTTAATCCATTGGGCAGGATTTCCCATTGTTGCAGCATGAGGACAGCAGGTGGTAGACTAGGGTAGGGGCTAGAGGTGGGGATGTTGCAGTTTTAGGTATAGCCACCAGGTGGTAGAGTGGTTCCTTACGGCTAAGCGTCACTTCCCTTGGGGGAAGTGGGGACGTTCACTTGTCCAGGGGTGGAATTATTTGGAAGCTTTTGAGAGGTTTCTGTTAAGACTGGAAGAATTGGAAATTATAGGTAGATCTCATCTCAACAAAGAGTATTCTCGGCCGGGCACGGTGGCTCATGCCTGTAATCCCAGCACTTTGGGAGGCTGAGGCGGGCAGATCACGAGGTCAGGAGATCGAGACCATCCTGACCAACACGGTGAAACTCCGTCTTCACTAAAAATGCAAAAATTAGTGAGATGCGGTGGTGCGTACCTGTAATCTCAGCTACTCGGGAGGCTGAGGCAGGAGAATCGCTTGAACCTGGGATTTGGAGGTTGCAGTGAGCCAAGATTGCCTCTGCACTCCAGCATGGCAACAGAGCAAGACTCCGCCTCAGAGAAAAAAAAAAAGTATTCTCTTCTAGAGAGCTATGTTCTTTGTTGGCTGTTCTTGTTTGTTATCAGTTATGCAAGTGTATGTAACCATCATAGAAAGATTTAGAAAATTCCTGTAAGAAATCTTAGGCTGGTCACAGTGGCTCACACCTGTAATCCTAGCACTTTGGGAGGCCGAGGCGGGCAGATCAAGAGGTCAGGAGATTGAGACCATTCTGGCTAACACGGTGAAACCCCGTCTCTACTAAAAATTAAAAAAAAATTAGCCGGGCGTGGTGGCTTGTGCCTGTAGTCCCAGCTACTCAGGAGGCTGAGGCAGTAGAATTGCTTGAATCCGGGAGGCGGAGGTGGTGGTGAGCCAAGATCATGCCACTGCACTCCAGCCTGGGCCACAGAGCAAGACTACATCTCAAAAAATAAGAAAAAGAAATCTTACCACACAGAGGTGAATATCACAAATCTTTAAAAAATTTTTGATTAATATGCATTTTATTTTATGTATTAATATTTAAAACTATTATTCTGAGGAGATGGATGGGGTTCACCAGACAGCCCAAGAGTCTAAGGTACAGAAAAGATTGAGACCATTACAAGGAGAGTCTGCCTAACTTAGGCTAGAAGTTGCCTGCCTGAGGAGAATGTTAGCAAAAAGAGGCAACGCCTTTTCCAGTTGTTGTGGGATAGGGGCACGTTGCAGGAAGGAGGTAGGAAGCAGGAGAGATGAGTCAAAGGGACCACAGGCCAGGGAATTCATGGTGGCATGGGGGTGGGGGTATGTATTATAGTCCAAGGTCAACATTTTAAAAAATAAGTTGAGATAGAAATGATGGTTCTCTTTCAAAGAAAACAAACAAAAAAAGCTTTGAGGCAGACAGGACTGAGGCCAGGATAGAACCAAGAGAGAATGACTCCTGTGAGAGGGAGTATTCCAAAGATGTTCCGATCAGCTGAAGGCAGAGTTTTTAAAAGCAGAGCATCTGCTGGGTTGAGTGAATATCAGTAACTGGTTGAATAACTGGTCTGGTTGAGTGAATTTCTGTAACCATGTGACTGGAGGGGTTTGCCTGGAGGGTTGGAGAAAGCAGATGCCAGCAACCATGGAGGGGAGAGTGGGGACCTTGGGATGTGCAGTCTTCTGGTGGTTCACTACCATCGTGACTTATGGCTTTGAGTACTGTTCTCTGGCTTGGAGACCAAAGGGAAGACATTAGCATTAACAAAGTTTGCTGTTTTTAATGAGAGTATTTAGTGCTGGTAGAGATCTAGGGAAATGGGCATTTTTCTGGAATGTATTTTCTGGTTGAATGTTAAAGACCTTTAAAATGTTTGTGGCAGGCCAGGCGCAGTGGCTCATGCCTGTAATCCCAGCACTTTGGGAGGCCAAGGTGGGTGGATCACCTGAGGTCAGGAGTTTGAGACCAGCCTGGCCAACATGGTGAAACCCCATCTCTACTAAAAATAGAAAAATTAACCAGGTGTGGTAGCACACACCTGTAATCCCAGTTACTCGGGAGGCTGAGGCAGGAGAATCGCTTGAACCTGTGAGGGAGAGGTTACAGTGAACTGAGATCGTGCCACTGCATTCCAGCCTGGGCAACAGAGCAACACTCTGACAATAAATAAATAAATAAATAAATAAATAAATAAAGTTTATGCCCTTTGAAATAGTAATTTCATTTCTAGGAATTTGGCTTAGGGAAATAATCCAAGATAAGACTTTGTGCATAAAGATGTTCATTATAATTTTTTATAGTGAAAAACCAGAAATAATTAAATGCTCAAAACAGGAGGATGTAAATTATGGTACATCTTACCTCATGGAAAATTCTTTGGTTATAGAAAATATCTACGAGGAATTTTTAATATTAGAGGAAATGCTTATGGTAAATGCTGAATAAATTCAAAATTATATAGAGAAACTATTTCAAGCATGTAAAATGTGTAGGAAAAGGACTGGAAGGAAATATGCCAAAATGTCTTAAAATGACTTCCTCTTGATTGTGAAGTTATCGGTAATTTATTTTCTGTTTTTTTTACTTTTCAGTAAACAAAATTTCCACAGAGTAGCTTTGCCCAGGCTGGAGTGCAATGGTGCGATCTCGGCTCACTGCAACCTCTGCCTCCCAGATTGAAGCAATTCTCCTGCCTCAGCCTCCCAAGTAGCTGGGATTACAGGTGGCCACCACAATGCCTGGCTAATTTTTCTATTTTTAGTAGAGATGGGGTTTCACCATGTTGGCCAGCCTGGTCTCAAACTCCTGACCTCAAGTGATGGGACCACTTTGGCCTCCCAAAGTGCCGGAATTACAGGCATGAGCCACTGCGCCCAGCCCAGAGTAGTTATTACTCAAAAGAAAGTTATTTTATAACACAATAATATACAAAGATTTTATTCTATAAGATGCATAAGTATAATGAGAGAAAAGTGAAAGGCTTCCATCCCAAAGGGTAACACTGTGAACAGTTTCCCACTTCTCTAAAATGTTTATATGTACATGTACCTATACAAATATATTGTTATGTTTTTTTCTTTTACCTAAGTGGGATCATACTGTAAATATTTTTCTGCAACTGCCTTTTTTATCCTTTCCAAAATGTCTTCTATATCTTCCCATATTGATACATGTAGACCGGCTTCACTTGTTTCAAGTGCTGTCTTGCATCTCATGATGTGGATAATCCATGGTTTATCTCACCATTCCTACACTGGCAGACGCTTTTCTAGTATCCTTTTTCACTATTTGAAGCAATGATGCAGTGAATACCTTTGTACACACAATAGTGTGACTATTTCCCTAGGATAGAGAGTTAGAAGGAGAGTTGCTGGATCAAAGACCGAGTGCATTTCTTATTTTGATAGATATGGTATGTATTTAAGATGATATAAACTTGTCTACTGTAACCATGACCTCAAAATAACAGTGACTTAAAACAAGATGGTTGTTTATTTCCCTTCAACTAACAGTCTAAGTGTAAGCAGTCCAGGGCTAACATTATGGTTTTGGAGTGTTAGGGACTCTGATTTATTTTGTCTTATTACTCTGCCATCTTCAACACGTGCTTTAATTTTATAGTCTAAGATGATCACTTCTACTCCTCCATTCATATCCATTTTTTAGGAAGGAGAGAAGTTTAGAGCAAAACCTGGAAGTTACACCTATCATTTTTGTTCATATCCAGAATTGGCCAGAACCTAATTGTGTTGGCCACACATAGCAGTGATGTGCCTTGGGCAGCTTTATGCCCAGCTACACTTCTAGAACTAAAGGAGAAAATCTCGTAAAGGATGCACAAGACCTTTCCACTGAGCACTGCAGGACGCTGCTGGAGTATTCAGTCAGCTAGGAGCAGGGTTTGTAAGTCATCACAGTGTGAGTGGCCACTGGCATTAGTGCGTTAGCTATTCACATGGATAGTCTGTTTTCCCATTTGGCTGTTCGCCTTCTTTCTTACTGATTTGTAGGCATTCCTTATAGATTTCATATATTAACCTTTTATTTTCTATAAATGTTATAAATATTTTGTCCGTTTCTTTTTTGTTTGTTTGTTTGAGATGGAGTCTCGCTCTGTCCCCAGGCTGGAGTGCAGTGGTGCTATCTGGGCTCACTGCAACCTCCGCCTCCCGGGTTCAAGCGATTTTCCTGCCTCGGCTTCCCGAATGGCTGAGACTAAAGGCATGTGCCACCTTGCCCGGCTAATTTTTTGTATGTTTAGTAGAGACGGGGTCTCACTGTGTTAGCCAGGCTGGTCTCGATCTCCTGACCTTGCGATCCGCCCGCCTTGGCTTCCCAAAGTGTGGGATTCCAGGTGTGAGCCACTGCGCCCGGGCTATATTTTAACTTTGTCAAAGGATCACTTGAACCCAGGAGTTCGAGGCTGCAGTGAGCTATGATTGCACCACTGCACTCCAGCTTGGGTGACAGAGCAAGAACCTGTCTCAAAAAAAAAAGTCATAATTATTGTTACAACTATTTAAAGAAATATGCATGTGAAAAAAAGACCGAAAATGAATACTTTAAGATTAAGAGAGGTATATTTGGATGTGATTATTTTTCTCTCTTAAAAATCTTTATTGTTGTCATTCCCTATTTATGTTTTTATGTTTTTAAAGAGGCAGATGTTAGCGGACTAGAGAATCAGCAGAGGCTTGCAAGGCTTCCTGAGGTGAACTAGGACTGAAAGCTGTGTGCTGTTGGGAGGAAGGAGGCTGGACTCTTTGGGATGTGTGAGCCAGGAGGAAGGGGCCCCATTCTAGGCCTTGGTCTCTAAGAATGGGGTTGCTGGTCCGCTGGTCTATAGTCTGGTATGATAAAAAAGCCCTTTCTTGCATTCCAGGGTCTCCTCATGCTGCTGCAGAACCTACCTACAATACACTGGGGCAACGAAGAGATTGGGCTGCTTCTCGCCGAGGCATACAGACTCAAGTACATGTTTGCCGATGCCCCGAATCACTACCGCCGATAGGTGCTGTCTCCTCCGGGGACCCAGACTGCCCTCATCTCTGATGGCAGTCTGATCACTGTGGCCACTGTGCGAGCCGTGGACCCCGGCCAGGAACCACTCCTGTTGTACAAAGCTCACACCCGCCGCCCAGGTCTTAACTTTCTGGCGTCCACCACTCCATGTCTCTGGATGTGTCACTTGGACCACTGTCAGTATTCCATGCCACGTGGATGGGCCCAGTTCTGGGAGAGGACAGAAAAGGTGGTACAGGGTTGTCTGCCCCTTTAAAAGAAACTGGACAAAGAAGGGGAAGGCTCAGGGTCTCAACTCACATTGTCCCTACAGGGACAGGCCCCAACTGAAAACTGTTGCTTTTTTTTGTGAACATAGTTTGATTTGATCACAGGTCAAAAACGCCTTATATTTTCAAAAGACTCCCGGCTCCTCTTCCCTCTCCCTGGTTTCCTAGCCCTTCCCCGTCTGCCCTAGTCTGAGCCAGTGAGGGGTAGCTTTTTAAAACCATTATTCTAGATGGAGGAGACACTGATGCTTGTAACTCTGGGAAGAGGCCTACACCCAAGAGCTAGGAATTTTATTTTTCCTTTTCTCACCAGGTGTCTGCATGTGTGTGTGGGTGTGAATGTGTATACACACCCATCAGCATTTAGTCACATGTCTGAATTTCTGTGTCCAGATGAGCCCCATCAGACTAGTTGGGAAGGGCCCCAGTGACCAAGTGTATAAGCATCCCTTGAAGAGGGATCAGGGCAGGGGAGGCAGAAGGGGCTGTTTACCTCTCCAAACTCCTTTTCCATGATGACCCACTCCAAGATATTATGTGTAAATTGTGTTATTATGTATATGGGTAAAGATGTACAAATATATGTCCTCTTTGTAGCAGATATGATTTTATATTTATAATGTGCATCAACATGTGGAAGCAATCTAGGTCACTAGCACAGAGGAAGTTGCCAGGAAGGTGGCTTCAGCGCCTCCAGGTTGGTCCTGGGTGTCCTGCTGTGAGGGGTAGAACGGGAGGCTGCTGGAGTGAGTGGCTGAGCGGGTGGAGCCATCCCAAGCATCAGTGTCTCAGAGTCCTCCTTGCCCCTTTCTTCACCCTGCCCTCCAACCCCCAGACTTTCCTGGAGCATCTTCGCTTTGCTCCTAGCAGCCTCCCCAAGAAGGGACTGCAGAGGCGGGCAAGCCCTCTCTATGTGTTTTTATTCCCACCTTCCCCGGAATCTGGGGAGGGCTTTTGTTTTCACATTTTCAAGTTCAGCGTTGTATTCAGGACAGAAGCTGTGACTGAAGACTGTGCCAAGGAAAGGGGCTTCCTGTGTGTCCCTCGGGTTTGGGGCTCTTCTCAGAGAGCAGCACTCCTTGTCCCTTACTGTCACCTTCACTCCCCACACAGCTCATGAGATGTGTGACCCCTTGTTTGAGTTTTGGTATTTGGTAGTGGAGGGTGGGGGGATGGGGGCCAGCAGCTGTCATCCTCCTGGGAAGCCGAGCAGCATCCCTGGTGGGTAACACCCTTGAGTCTCTTTGCCAGTGAGGCCCACCACACCAGTGTGAGTTAGGTTTCTCATCTGGAGCTGTTTCTCAGGCATTCTTCCCGACCCTCTTCCTTTTCCCCTTCGGTGTGCCTCAGTGGTCCCCTCAACCGGACTAATTAAAGAAAGACACTTGTGTTCCCAAGTGGTGGTTTTATTTTTTTAGTTTTTATGTTTGTATGGGAAATTGTGGATAAAGTGAAAAGAATTGTAAATAAATGGTGTATTTCCTCCTCCATCTGCTGGTTTTTCTCCTGTGTGTTCATGGAACCTAAAGAGTCTCCTCTTCCTGAGTTTTTCTTGCTGATACTAGTACGTGTGCGGTCAGGCCTTCTGTGAGGTGAGCAGGGGATCAGCAGAGGATCAAAAAGCATTCTTAGAGGACAGCCAGCAAACACCCAGCATCCATCTGTGAAAGGTACTGTGGAAACTACACAAATGAGTAACTTGGTAAATGAAACTACTAAAAGGAGTTAACTTGCCAACCACTTTGATAAGCACTTTACATGGATTATTTGATTCATCCGAAAGGAGTATGTTATCTGATGGAGGGTAGAAAACAGACTAGAATTTCTGTGCTGGATGAAAACCTGGAGATATCTAGTTTAACCCCCTCATTCACAGAGGAAAATCCAAGCCAAGGCCAAGGAAGACAGCATCAGAGTCATCAGAGTAAGAACCAGAGGACCGGTGTCCTGGCTTGCCTGTTCAGTGCGTTTCCACCAAAGCAGAAAGAACTAAGACGGCCGCCATGTAAGGTTGTCTTTAAGTCTCATTTTGGTCGTCAGCTGTTGATTTTTTTCTTGGTAACCTTACTGTGAAATATCTCAAGAAAGGTAGCTGATTACATTTCATCTACAAAGGACAGGTTGGAATGGTTTCCCCACCCAGAATTCCTTCCTAGGATTTATTTGAGAGTATTTCTTGGTTTCAGTCATTAGGAACCATATAAAAATTAAATTCAGCTATGTGTAACAAAAAACAAAAATAGGGCGGGCGCGGTGGCTCATGCCTGTAATCCCAGCACTTTGGGAGGCCGAGGCAGGTAGATCACAAGGTCAGGAGTTTGAGACCAGCCTAGCCAAGATAGTGAAACCCCGTCTCTACTAAAAATACAAAAAAAAATTAGCCAGGCATGGTGGTGGGCATCTGTAATCCCAGCTACTCAGGAGGATGAGGCAGGAGAATTGCTTGAACCCGGGAAGGTGGAGGTTGCAGTGAGCCGAGATCACACCACTGCACTCCAGCCTGACTGGGCAACAAGAGCGAGACACCGTCTATAGATAAATAAATAAATAAATAAATAACAGTGACTTGTACAGGATGAGAATTTACTTCTCCCTCACATAAATGTCCAAAAGTAGGCAATCCAGGGCTAGTAAGATGACTGTTTCACAAAGTGCTTAGGAACCTGGACTCCCTCCCTGTGTCTTCATGGTCAGGATGGTAGCCAGCACTCCAACTATTTTTACACCAACTTTCCAAGCCACAGGATGAATTAAAGAGGCGACAAAGAAGAAAAAGGAAATGTGCCAGCAGTGTTGTAAGGAAGGTTCCAGGAAGGTGCCCCATCATACCTCCTCCTACAACTCACAGCAGAACTTAGTCCGTGGTAGGTTGCACCTAGTTGCAGGAGAGGTTGGGAGGATGAGTCCATTGCAGGCAACCATATGCCTGGCTAAAAGGATTCTGGTACTATGGAGGAAGGGGAGCACAGACGTTAGGATTCAGGAACAGTCTCTACAATAAGAACTTATAAAAATAAGTTGACAATAGAGACAGACTTTCCCATAAGCATACAGAAAGGGAATGTGTGTTCAAAATCTAAGTCACTCTTCACAATTAACTTTGGAATTTAACCTTTGTCATAAAACACAAATACTTTCTACTTGATATTATTTGAACTGAAGCTATTAATTGTTCCAGAGGCTAAAAATAACCTGAACTAGTCTTCATTCAAACATCTGCTTTTCATTTATGCAGGAAGTCAAGCATTTTCTGAGACAGGTTTGTTTGATCATGACTAGAAAATTGATGAAATCTTCCGAACCAATCCTGGCATACTCTAACCTACAGTTTATCCAATAGTTCTACAATTTAAATCTCTACAAGATTCTACTTAAAACAGGCCCTGCCTCTGTTTGTATTGATCTGCAAAGGGATAGTGGCACAGATTCCTCAAACAGTGACTTTATTTGCTTCTAGAGGCAAGAGCTTCTTGTTGACAGCATTTGGACTTTGCATTTCAAAACAGTTATGTAAAGCTTTGAGGATTGGAGGCAAAAACTAAGCGCCTGTAACCGAGCCTTTCATACCTCTCTCAGGACGTCCAACACTCATTTCCTCATTGGAGACAGTTTTGGAAGCTGCCATAGATGCCAAGGTGATGATTTTAGATTCTTGATGAAAAGGATGAGCTTCCCACAGAATCAGCCTAAAGTGCAGTACCACAAGACCAGGGTCTTCTGAGCCTGTGCCAGCTTGCCAGGATAGGTGCCACATGCCCACAACTATGGCCAACCAAGGCATCTCCCAAGGAAAGGCATCCACTTGCTTTGGCAAAGGCTGAATTAGAATTCTTGGAAGCAAGGAGAATCCCTGTTCAGCTTGGTTCTGCAGGTGGTGTGGCTTCTGCAGGGTGAGTGTGACAGTCCCTGCCTGAAGTGAGAGCCATTGTGGGGAATCTGGGAGCCAGACCCTGGGCTACTTTTGCTTGTATGGATACTAAGCTTGTCTCAATAGTGACCCCACTAAACCTGCCCCACCCAACCCAGCTATCTGAAAGGAAAGCCCAAACCTCTTCAAACCACTGGTCTCCAAACTTAATTTCCTTCCTTTACTTTTAACCTCTCTGTGTGTTTATGTCCAATGTGGATTTCTTATTTTATTTTTTATTTTTTTGAGATGGAGTCTTGCTTTGCTGCCCAGGCTGGAGTGCAGTGGGTCAATCTCAGCTCACTGCAACCTCTGCCCCCTGAGTTCAAGCGATTCTCCTCCCTCAGCGTCCTGAGTAGTTAGGACTACAGGTGCCCGCCACCACACTCTGCTAATTTTTGTATTTTTAATAGAGATGGGGTTTCACCATGTTAACCAGGCTGGTCTCCAACTCCTGACCTCAGGTGATCCACCCGCCTCAGCCTCTTAAAGTGCTAGGATTACAGGCATGAGCCACTGTGCCCAGCCTCAATGTGGATTTCTTAAAGACAATGTACTTGGGTCTTGTTCTCCAGTCCAGTCTGACAAGCTCTTGTTTTTAATTGGTGTATTTATTTATTTATTTTTTTTTATTTTTTTTTTTTTTTTGAGACGGAGTCTCGCTCTGTCGCCCAGGCTGGAGTGCAGTGGCCGGATCTCAGCTCACTGCAAGCTCCGCCTCCCGGGTTCACGCCATTCTCCTGCCTCAGCCTCCCGAGTAGCTGGGACTACAGACGCCCACCACCTCGCCCGGCTTTTTTTGTATTTTTTTAGTAGAGACGGGGTTTCACCGTGTTAGCCAGGATGGTCTCGATCTCCTGACCTCGTGATCCACCCGTCTCGGCCTCCCAAAGTGCTGGGATTACAGGCTTGAGCCACCGCGCCCGGCCTTTAATTGGTGTATTTAAACCATTTGCAATTAATATTATTAATATGGTTGGATTTAGTCTACCATTTTATTTCTTTTTCTGTTTGTTCCCTTTCTTCCCCCCACCCTTTCCTGTCACTTTTTGAATTATTTGAATAACATATTTGTTGGCTTTTGACTATATATATATTTTTAAGAGATTGCTCTGAAGATTACAGTATACATACCTAAAGTTGTTCACAGTCTGTTTACAGTTTATATTTTATCTCTTCAATTAAAATTCAGAAGTATTACAACAATTTAGGTCCTTAATCTCTCCTTCCTTTATAATTGTTACATGAATTACATATACATCCATTGAAAACCTTACCAGATACTATTATCATTTTGTTCTCAACAGTCATACATATTTGAAGGAACTGAAGAGGAACTTTACCTGTCATGTTTTTCCTTCAGTCCTTAAGTTCCAGGTTTCTTTCTGGTATAGTTGTTTGCCTTCAGCCTAAATAACTTTCTTTGGCACTTAGAACAGATCTGCCAACAGTTCTCTTAGTTGTCTTTCATCTGAGAATGCCTTTATTTTGCCTTCATCCTGAATCTATTTTCTCTTGATATGGATTTTTTTTTTTTCTTTTTTAAACTTTCTGGCACTTTACCCACGTTGTTCCATCATCATTTTTTCCATGGCTTCTGATAAGAAATCTGCAGTCATGCCCGGTGGAGAAGCTGAGGTCAACATCAGATTTGAAATATTTAAAGTGGATACAAAACTATTTCAGCAATGCAGACAATTAAGTGTGTTGTTGTGGGCGATGGTGCTGTTGGTAAAACATGTCTCCTGATATCCTACACAACAAACAAATTTCCATCGGAATATGTACCAACTGTTTTTGACAACTATGCAGTCACAGTTATGATTGGTGGAGAACCATATACTCTTGGACTTTTTGATACTGCAGGGCAAGAGGATTATGACAGATTACGACCGCTGAGTTATCCACAAACAGATGTATTTCTAGTCTGTTTTTCAGTGGTCTCTCCATCTTCATTTGAAAATGTGAAAGAAAAGTGGGTGCCTGAGATAACTCACCACTGTCCAAAGACTCCTTTCTTGCTTGTTGGGACTCAAATTGATCTCAGAGATGACCCCTCCACTATTGAGAAACTTGCCAAGAACAAACAGAAGCCTATCACTCCAGAGACTGCTGAAAAGCTGGCCCGTGACCTGAAGGCTGTAAGGTATGTGGAGTGTTCTGCACTCACACAGAAAGGCCTCACGAATGTATTTGACGAAGCAATATTGGCCGCCCTGGAACCTCCAGAACCGAAGAAGAGCCGCAGGTGTGTGCTGCTATGAACATCTCTCCAGAGCCCTTTCTGCACAGCTGGTGTCGGCATCATACTAAAAGCAATGTTTAAATCAAACTAAAGATTAAAAATTAAAATTCGTTTTTGCAATAATGACAAATGCCCTGCACCTACCCACATGCACTCGTGTGAGACAAGGCCCATAGGTATGGCCCCCCCTTTCCCCTCCCAGTACTAGTTAATTTTGAGTAATTGTGTATTGTCAGAAAAGTGATTAGTACTAGTTCTTGTTTTGTTGTTTGGAAAAAAAAAAAAAAAAAGTAGTGGGTTTTTTTTTTTTTTTTTTTTTTTTGGTTTAAAAGCAAGGCATGCTTGTGGATGACTGTAACAGACTAATTGGAATTATTGAAGCTGCTCCCTGGTTCCACTCTGGAGACATCTGGGACATCTTAGTGTTTTGTTTTTTTTTTTTTTCCCTCCTCTTTTTTGGGGGGGAGTGTGTGTGGGGTTTGTTTTTTAGTCTTGTTTTTTTAATTCATTAACCAGTGGATAGCCCTTAAGGGGAGGAGGACGGATTGATTCCACATTCCACTTCCTAGATCTAGTTTAGAAAACATGTTCCCCATCTGGTGCTCTTAGGAAGGAGTATAGTAAATGCCTCATTTAATAACATACTCCTTTTTGAAAGTTGCCTTTTCTCTCCACCCTTGAGTAGATCCAGTATTTGATGAAACTCATGAAAGTGGGTGGAGCCTGTCTTGCCCCTCCTCTTTTCTAGGACGCACTATATGTGACTGTGACTTTCAAGGACATTTGTTTGCCATTCACTGTTTTTTGGGGGAAGTTGATTTCTAACTTCTTTCACTGATAAATGAAGAAAAGTATTGCACCTTTGAAATGCATCAAATGAATTGAGTTTGTAATTAAAAAAATTTTTTTCCCTCTCAGTCATTGTCTTATATGCTTAGCGTAGATTTGCAGCTCGTAGTATATGGTGTTCCTAGAATGCAGCTGAAGACCTGGTATGTAGAGGAAATACGAGGGGTGGTGCTAGAAGACAGACATCTGTGGAATGATTCACATCCTCTCAAGTTAGGAGGATGGAGGCCTGCTTCATTAAGAAGCTGGGGGTAGGGTGGGGGTGGGGAGAACACTTAACAACATGGGGACCAGTCAGGGGAATCCCCTTATTTCTGTTTTGCATATGAGGAACCCTAGAGCAGCCAGGTGAGGCTCTCTAGTTTAATAAAAATCATGGAAAGAGTCTTAATAAAGACTCTTAATAAGTGCTAATAGGGATTTTATCAGCTTATTTTGGTTGCAGTTTCCAATTTTTAAAAATGTTGAGGTAATCTTTCCCACCTTCCCAATCCTAATTCTTGTAGATTCATTAGTGTTGAACCAATGCTTTCTCATGTCTCAATTCTTTGTATATGCATTTTTTTTTTTTTTTTTTTTTTTTTTTATTCAAGTATGCAATAGAAAAACCCATAAAATACTATAAAAAAGGACTACATTTATGGTGATTGGCCTTGCTCATCTGCTCAGATCTAGCCCCACCTTCCCTGGGACTGGGGTAGTCGGTCACCCAGCCTGCCATGCCCCAGCCCCTCTTCCCCACAAAGAGTATCTTGGGGGAGGGGATCGTGGGCAGAACAGGAGGCAATGAGGATGAACATTTGGCGCTGGTAGCAGCAGCAATGACGGATGTCGAAGAATGGAACATTGAACAAAAAACAACACAACTGTCCAGAGGTAGTTTGTGAACAGAGGAAAAATGGAACCAGAACTTTGGGGGGCAGGGAGGAGCAGGAGGGGGGTTGGGAGAGGGCAGGGTGAGCTCCTTGTTATTGGTGCCCCATCTGAGGAGGGGGAAATGGCTGAGTGGCGGAAGCAAAGTAGGGTGAGGGGAGCAGCCCCAGCCCACCTCAGGTGACGGCCACAGGGCTCGTGGGCCTCACCCAGACAATAAGCGACTGCATCTCCATCACTACCACATGTACTCAGATCCCAGGCGGAGGGCGAGGGGGCTGTGGCCACAGTGAAGCGGGAGTAAGGACACACCCCTCCTGCCTTCCTGGAGCCAAAGGGGGCTGCCCAACCTAGTGCAGGGACTAGGGAAGGTGGGGAAGGATGAAAAGTGTGAGCCCCATGTGATGACAAAGACAGTTTGGCTGGGGGAATCCTGGGGCCAGCACCCCCTCCACTGGCCACACCTGCTGCTGCCAGGGCAGTGGAGTAGGGCGGGCCAGGATGAGATGGGGCTTGGGCCCCTTTTAAGGCCAGGGGAACCCTCCCAGGTCCCACTACAGGAAGCCAGAGGGAACAGTGAAGGAGCAGAGAGAGCGCCCCCAAACCAAAAGCCCAGAGAGCAATGTCCCCACCACCAAGGGAGTGGGGACGCAGCAGGTGCAGGGTGCGGCTAAGTGGGATGTTAGCCTTGTCCAGGAGGGCATGTGTGTATGCGTGGGTGGGCGGGGGGAGCTGGGAACTGAGGCCAGGGGAAAACTGCTCCCCACTCAGCCCATGGGAGCCCTGCAGCGGCTGGTGTGCTGTGTAGTGTGGTGGTGAGGGCACAGGTGGAAGATGGGGGTGGCGGCCAGAGTCGGTGGTGATGGTGGGTCTGGGGAAGGGGCGGGGGCGGTGGGAGCGGAGCAAAGCTGTCCAGTCCCAGAAGGAAGCTGCTCCTCCAGTGAGGGGCAGGCGGCACGCATGGGTCACTGCTCCTCCTCCGAGGATTCCTGCGAGATGCCCTCCTCTTCCTCCTTCTCCAGTTTTTTGGGTCTGCCCCTTGGTTTCCTTCCTGGAGTTGTGGTGGTTTTCCGGGTCTTGGCAGCACCCTTGTTTTTGCTTCCCTTTGGTCGGCCCCAAGGTCTCTTAGGTGTTGGCACTTCGCTGGGCTCCTTCTGACTCCCTACCAGCGCTGTCCCGGGACTCACCGGAGGCTGCTTGCGCGGCCTGCCCTGGCCCCGCTTCTCAGTGCCGTCCTTTTCCTGCTTGGAGGCCAAGGGCTGGCTGGACTTCGAGCTCGACTCGCTCATCTTCCCTTCTCTAAGGAGCATAGATGATGCTATCTTGACCGCCAGCAATGCCCGCTCATCCATTAATTATATGCATTCTTTTCAGAGGTATTAAACAAACAAAAACCCTTCAAAAAAAAAAAAAAAAAAAAAAAAAGAAATCTGCAGTCATGCCTGTAATCGCAGCACTTTTGGAGGCCGAGGTGGGGGGATCACAAGGTCAGGAGTTCGAGACCAGCCTGGCCAATATGGTGAAACCTGTCTCTAACAAAAATTAGCCGGGCATGGTGGTCCATGCCTGTAATCCCAGCTACTCAGGAGACTGAGGCAGCAGAATCACTTGAACCCAAGAAGTGGAGGTTGCAGTGAGCTGAGATTGCACCACTGCACTCCAGCCTGGGTGACAGAGTGAGACTCCGTCTCAAAAAAAAAAAAAAGAAATCCACAGTCATTGAATAATTTTCTGTGTTTAATTCATTATTTTCCTCTGACTTCTTTTTAAAACAAATAACTAGTAAAATGTACATATCAGAAAACTTGCCATCTTAATCATTTATAAGTGTACAGTAGTGTTAGGCACATTCACATTGTGTGCAGTCAATCTCCAAAATTCTCACCTTGCAAAATTGACACTCTATACTCATTAAACAACAGCTCCCATTCTCTTCTGCCCCCAGCCCCTGGCAACCACCATTCTACTTTCTGTCTTTTTGAATTTGAATTTTCTAGGTACCTCATAGAAGTGGAAGCATATAGTATTTGTCTTTTTGTGACTGGCTTCTTTCACTAAGCACAATGTCCTCAAGGTTCATCCACGTTTTAGCATGCATCAGAATGTCCCTCCTTTTCTAAGGTTAAATTTTGATTGTGTGTCTATACCACATTTTGTTTATCCATTCATCTGTTGACGGGCACTTGTGTTGCTTCCATCTTTTGACTTGTGAATAATGCTGCTATGAACATGGGTGTGCAAACATCTTTTCAAGACCCAGCTTCCAATTATTTGGGTATATACTCAGAAGTGGGATTGCTGATAATTCTATTTTTTAATTTTCTCAGGAACTTCTGTATTGTTTCTCAGACTGCTTTTGAGATTTTTTTTTTTAAGTTTCTGGAGTTTGATTATGTGTCTGAGTATAAGTTGTTTGTGTTTGTTTTCTGGTGTTTGTTCATTTTTTGCATTCATCCTGTTTGGGGTTCACTAATTTTCTTGAATCTGTAATTTTATATCTTTCATCAAATTTGAGCATATTTCTTCAAGTAGTTCCTTTTCTGCACCAATCTTTTATTCCTCCCCTGGGACTCCAGTGATATGAACATTAGACCCTGAGACTGTTCATTATTTTTGCAATCTTTTTTTCTTTCTGTTCTTCAGAATAGATAATTCCTCTTCATTTATCTTTAAGTTCATTAACTTCCTCTTCTGTGGTCTCCATTCTGCTATTAAGCCCACCTAGTTAATTTTTATTTCAGATACTGTGTTTTTTGGTTCTAAAATTCCCATTTGGTTCTTTTTATAGTTTCTATTTTTCTGCTGAAAGCTTCTGTCTTTCCCTTTATTACAAGTGTGTTTACCATTATTTCATCCAGCATACTTATAATAGATGTTTTAAGTCTTTATCTGATAATTCTAACCTCTTGGTCATATTGGTGCTGGCATCTTTTTTTTTTTTTTTTTTTTTTTTTTTTGCTTTTTTTATTATTATACTTTAAGTTCTAGGGTACATGTGCACAACGTGCAGGTTTGTTACATAGGTATACATGTGTCATGTTGGTTTGCTGCACCCATTAACTCATCATTTACATTAGGTATTTATCCTAATGCTATCCCTCTCCCACTCCCCACCCAACGACAGGCCCTGGGGTGTGATGTTCCCCACCCTGTGTCCAAGTGTTCTCATTCTCATTGTTCAGTTCCCACCTATGAGTGAGAACATGTGGTGGTTGGTTTTCTGTCCTTGTGATAGTTTGCTCAGAATGATGGTTTCTAGCTGCATCCATGTCCCTGCAAAGGACATGAACTCATCCTTTTTTATGGCTGCATAGTATTCCATGGTATATTAATCCAGTCTATCATTGATGGACATTTGGGTTGGTTCCAAGTCTTTGCTATTGTGAATAGTGCTGCAGTAAACATATGTGTACATGTGTTTTTATAGTAGCATGATTTATAATCCTTTGGATATATACCCAGTAATGGGATGGCCGGGTCAAATGGTATTTCTAGTTCTAGATCCTTGAGGAATCGCCACACTATCTTCCACAATGGTTGAACTAGTTTACAGTCCCACCAACAGTATAAAAGCATTCCTATTTCTCCACATCCTCTCTGGTGCTGGCATCTTTTGATCATCTTTTCCCATAAAAATTGGTAACATTTTCTAGAGCTTTGTGGAGCAATTTTGGATTGCATCCTGGATATTTTGAATAGTATTAATATGTTGTGAGACTCTGAATCTTGTTAAAATTCTTCTACAGCAAGAGTCAGCAAACTATGACCTGCAGGCCAAATCCAGCCTTCCCCCTGTTTTTATAGGTAAAGTTGTACTGGAACACAGCCTGGCTGCTTCATTTACATACTGTGCTGCTTTGGCACTACAATAGCAGGGTTGAGTAGTTGTGATGGAAGACTATATGGTCTTGGAAGACTATATGGTATGTGATGGAAGACAAAGCTTAAAATATTTATTATCTGGCCTTTTGTGGAAAAAGTTTGCTCACCTCAGCTTTAGAAAGTGTAGGGCCGGGCGCGGTGGCTCACGCCTGTAATCCCAGCACTTTGGGAGGCCAAGGCAGGCGGATCATGAGGTCAGGAGATCAAGATCATCCTGGCCAACACAGTGAAACCCCGTCTCTACTAAAAATACAAAAAATTAACTGGGTGTGGTGGTGGGCACCTGTAGTCCCAGCTACTCGGGAGGCTGAGGCAGGAGAATGGCGTGGACCCGGGAGGCAGAGGTTTCAGTGAGCTGAGATTGTGCCACTGCACTCCAGCCTGGGGGACAGAGTGAAGACTCCATCTAAAAAAAAAAAAAAGTGTTGACTTTGTTTTTGTTTTGTTTGTTTTCATAGGCAATCAATCTAATGAGGTTCAAACTGCAAATTCTGTCTCATCATCTTGGGGACAGATCTAGGAGAGAGAAAATGAAATAGTTTTAATGGGGATTTCACTCTATACTCTCTGGCTCACAGGAACCCTTCTCCTAAGTCTTCTGGTCAGAGAGATGGGGTTTCTCTCAGAGTTTCTGCTGTCTCTGCTACCGTGCAGCTCCCCAACTGGACCTATTCTCATCTCAAAGCTGTGATAGAAAAGAAGAAAATTGGGGGAAACTCACCCCATACAGACAGTTTCCTCAAGCTTTGATTCCTTTCTGTAATTTGGCTGCTTGTTTACTTTTCGGAGTCCTTAGTTGCATTTTGTCCAGAATTTTTAGTTGTGATCAGTGGCAGAGACTGCAGTGCCTTACTCCATTTTGTCTGGTACTGGAAACCTCCCAACTTCTTTGTGACCACGACCTATAGTGAAAAAACACATTTTACATTGAGACTCAGTACACACACACACACACACACACACACACACAGAGACATCAGTGTTTCACAAACAATGCTGTGTGTGATGGCCTCTTACTTATTCTATTGTATTCCTTTTCAGTTTTGTTATTGTTTCTTAATGGTGCTAAGAGACCAGTGTGATGGCTCATGTGGGAGGATCGCTTGAGGCCAGGAGTTTGAGACCAGCCTGGGCAACATAGTGAGACCTCATCTATACAAAAGCCAAAATTAGCCCAGCACGGTGGCACGCATCTGTAGTCCTAGCTACCTGAGATGCTGCTGAGGCGAGAGGATCATTGCTTGAGCCCAGAGGTTTGAGGTTACAGTGAGCTATGATCCTGCCATTGCACTCCAGCCTTGGTGAGAGAGTGAGACCTTGTCAATAAATAGTGCTAAGACTCATTACTCGGCGTTAACCTAAGTTTGAAAAACAGAGCTCTAAACACTGTCACTGAAACAGGAGAGGCAAGCCTTCTACTAGCTGAAATACGCACATTTAAACAAGTCCTGAATAATATATACCACAACTGATGATACAATAAACTTGCGAGTCAAAAAATGTGATGAGAATTGCATAATAACCTTTAATTGTAGAACTCCAGGTTCTCCATGTGAGAAACACCTGACTCTCTGCTCCCCTTCCTCAACCCTTGACAAAGGTGAACGGAGTTAGGGATCTTTGTAATCTTTTGTAGTCCAAAAATAGCCAACTCAAAGTGATATGACGCAACTGTAAGTCATCCAAAATCTAAATTTTATATTAGGTGCCTGATACACATGTTACTTGCAAAATAAACAGCCTGAAGCCAACTCAGAGGAAAACAAAGTGATCATTATTGATGCCTGATTCTCGCTGCCTTCTGCTGCTGCTACCCCCTTTAGCTCCCCTCCCTTCTTTCCTTCCTCCCCTCTTCCTGAATAAAATCAGCTGGGTAATGAATTTTTTTTTTCTTTCCGAGATGGAGTTTCTCTCTGTCACCCAGGCTGGAGTGCAGTGGCGCGATCTCGGCTCACTGCAACCTCTGCCTCCCGAATTCAAGCAATTCTCCTGCCTCAGCCTCCAGAGTAGCTGGGATTACAGGCGACCACCACTGCGCCCGGCTAATTTTGTATTTTTAGTAGAGACGGGATTTCGCCATGTTGGCCAGGCTGGTTTTGAACTCCTGACCTCAGATGATCTGCTCACCTCTGCCTCTCAAAGTGCTGGGATTACAGGCATGAGCCACCAGCCTGGCTGGTAATAAATATTCTATCTGGATACTGATCCTTGGCAAGTTAAAGGACGTAGATGCTTAAACAGTCAGGGCCCCCACCGAAAAGGTGGTTACTAATTTTAAGTACCTCCAAAATATCTACCTTAATTACTGATTAAAGACACCTCCAGGCTGGGCGCAGTGGCTCACGCCTGTAATCCCAGCACTTTGGGAGGTCGAAGCGGGTGGATTATGAGGTCAGGAGATCAAGACCATCCTGGCTAACATGGTGAAAC